TTTTCCTGATGTCCCTAATTAGTTGGGGATGTGGATGGATCTTCAACTGTGCATGTTTAGTTGTTTTCATCCATCTTCAGCTAGCCAGAAGAGACAGAACTGTTATGAACGCTGTATATATCGTTGGAAGATCCACATATATGGTTATATATAGTTTTCAGTTGTATGAACACTGTCACTTTTTGCAGTTGCCTTTGGAGGGTCTAAATGGTCAACGTCATCCAAGGCGTCTCATTGCTCTTGAACAAGTCGTCCGGAAGTTGCAGGGGCAGGTGGAAGAGCAGGAGCGAGGGCGCCTTGTTGGCTGAGAAAAGAGATGCAAGAAGGCATTTGGAATAGATAACTCTTTTACCAACAGCTTCCATGTGTCAAAAGGGTGGGAAACTGATTTCACACTAGTTGGGCTATAGTCCATATTCACACATCTTCCACACAATTCTAGAGATGAATCCTGGAGGTGTTAGGTGGTGCTTGCCGATGATTTGGAAGCGATAAAGAAACAACAAATGATGCTCTCTCCTTTTCATTCAGCGTCATCGAAAGAATTGTTTTACCCTGGCGGTCTGACGAGGGTCGTCCATTCGAACGACGGTTGGTTTCAGGAATCGCCAAAAGGGGGAATGGGATGAACATTTTGTCCATGGATTTGGGACTTGCGCCACATGTGGAGCTTCTAAGTGGGGTTGGTTGGATCAAGTTCAATCAAGAAGCCAGCAGGTATGACCAGCAGGATAACCATCAGACTACTATAATGTTAGACTGAACACTGTTGGAACAAGAGAGAAGGTTACAGTAAAAGAAAAGTGAGAGTCAGAGTAAAAAAGACCATCGATAACACAGAAGATCACAAAGGTGGTATAGTTGGCAAAAGGTAGCCCTTTTTCTCTCTTATTTTAAGCAACCTCAGAGACCTCAGAGGATTTTGCCTGATTAGGTCACTCGCTGACCTGAAGTCCGCTGAGCTTGAAATCGACTGTTCCGAGCAAAGAAGAGACCCTGTTTTGGCAGGCCTTTTTCAATTCTTTGCTTCTGGGCCTCCATCATACCATCCAATGACTACCATTGACTAGCCATAGGGATGTAGGGTCCACTTGCTCCCCCCATGTATGAAAGCCATTGAAAGCCTTGTTTAGCCCTTGGGCTCACTTTCCATCGCTGGAGGGGTGAGGCTTGGGAGGGGTTCGTCTTCCTCCGAATCGGTGGGTCGTTGGACACGAGAGGAGCAGCAGCTTCGGCATGCGGAAGTGGCCGCTCTGACCTGGTGTATATTGGGTCCGATGGTGGAGAATGTGGCGGATTTGGATTGATTTGTGGAAAAACGTCTCACAACACTGGGCAGTTTATGGTAGTTTGCAAAGTTTGCAGAATTTGTACCGTCCAGCCTGGAAAAGAGTCTAGCTCTCGAGAGATTATCCTACCTAATTACTACTCATGCTGCTGCTGCTGCTGCTGCTGCTCGAAGAACAAACATAGGACATCCAGCAGTCAGTTTATAGTGAAGTTCTACCTTCAATCTAACATGATTTGACTACCATGGTTCAGGAATATGGCAGGGTGGCAGAAAGTAAAAGTAGTAGTAGTAGTAGTAGTAGTAGTAGTAGTTGTTGTTGTTGTTGTTGTTGTTGTTGTTGTTGTTGTTGTTGTTGAAGCGACTCACGGCTGTAGCCGCAGTGGGACACAACCTCCCCCGGCAGATCGGCAGAAACTTGATCCAAGACCAACCAAGCATATCCCTAGAGCCTGACTAGAGGGATTTCGAGGGCCAGAACTTGTCCCAAACAACTCAACAACTATGTTTGTGGTTATCAACACCATCCACGTCCACACCAAACACTTTGTGTGGTGCTCAGGCTTCTGGTTTGAAAGGGTATTCCAAAGGCAAGGACAAAACATCTACAGAAATGTCAAACAACATCAACAGCTAGGCCATACAACTGCCGCACCTAATTCCTTGAACGGATTATTGGAAGGAACGTCAACTCATCCATTGATTGCCTTCGTATCTCCACACTTCCTGTTGAAACCAAAGTACCTTCATAGTAGTGCAGTACGCAGTAGCAGAGTACGTAGTCGTAGTCGTAGTCGTAGTCGCAGTCGTCGTCTTCTTCGTCGTCGTCGTCGTAGTAGTAGTAATTAGTAGTAGTAGCAGTAGCAGCAGCAGCAAGTAGTAGTCACTAGTGGTAGTGGTAGGAGTAGATAGCAATAGCCGGCACTGGGCCACTAATAATAATGTTGTGCAACACGCTTCAGCCGATTGGTCCCGTGACACCTCAGGATTTGCGCGCTGGTGGCCTTCGTTAAGGCATGCGGCCTCGTGAAAGCGTGCGGAGAGGTCATTGGTCATGAATGGTCAACCTGCGGTGCTGCTGATTGACAGATGGCCTTCAAACTAATAGCGATGGCCTCCACCCTACAGTGACAAATAGGAACACCTCGAGTTTTGGTGGCAAGCACCTTCACAGGTCCCCAAATCAGCCAGCCTGGTGGGTGCCCTGCACCCACGGCAAGGGATTCGAGAATCATGGGCAAGCTTCATAGCCTGATACTGCCCCCAAAGCATTTGAACCACACTCATTGTCAGAATTACATTTACTCAGGCAAAGCATTTGATCACCGGACAAGAAATGTGATCTTAAGCGATTCCATTGCACATGCTTATCAAGATCAAAGCAAATCCCGTGTTGGCCTTTGGGCTTTTCAGAAGCACGAAGGCCGGGTGAAGATGCATGTTGAACAGGTGTGTCATGTCCCGTTCGAACAATGGGAATTATGTCTAAGCTTGTTCCTTTTGCAGTGGGGTCGGGACCTCAAGTGGATCAAGGGACGTCATATTCTTGAAGATAAACAAAAAACACCACAGGCCCTTTGTGCCCATTTTCTGGTCAAACGCAGCTCTTAAAATGCATGAAGTCTACTGTCTCTTTGAGATTGCAAGAAGAACCATGAAGAAGGCAAGCTGGACAGAACTTGTGCACAAACAGGTCGTGTCCAAACAGGGTTCTACTCCAATTTAAATGATGAGACACTTGTCAGAGGCGAAGCAGGCCGAAATCAAGGATGTTTTTTGGACGTTTTCATTGTGCATCGAACCCACGCAACGGAAGCCATCTCCTGTTTGTTTCCACCAGGTTGGCGCGTCCTTCGCCGCCGGTCAGAAGCCACATGTGGTTTTTGAAGTGAGGAGGGCAAGTTGGACTCATCAGTCAAAGGTCTACAATGTTTGAGTGATGTTTCAACAGCACTTACCCAGATAGTGATTATACAAGTTTGAACCTTTGCAGGATTGGTTTCCCAATGAAGGTGGACAGAGGTGGGTGCCACAAAGGGCAGGGTTAGAGATTATCAACCCACCCGGCCTACATTGGGAGCATCTGAGCACAATTGAAGATGTTCCTTCAAAAAGGCTCTTTGTCCAGCTGATATTCAATTCTGAGAGATGGTTTTGGTTTAGATGCCGGTATCATATAACTCATCCAACCCGTTTCTTGCAGCCATATCACTTCTAGGTACTTTTGGCTTTCAACAACATAGCGCCACGAAAGAATTCAGAGAGCTTTCTATAGCAACCACTCCAATGGAATCTACTCAACTGCCTTGCTGTTTGTGACTTTTGTGGTCAAGATTGGAGACAGACTACATCAAGTAATCGACCAGGCGTGTTTTGACAAACAACCTCAGACCACCCTGGTGGTAGTAAGGGATGTAAGGGGAGCTTCTTTGTTGGCGTATTTTGGCGTACTATCTCTACCACGATCAGCAGCCCTCCCAAATTTTGTCGTCCGTTATCTGGTAAGACACCAGGGGCAACGACCTGGTTTTCAGGCGACGAGGCGAGAACTGCGGACTAGTTAAGTGAAGTAAGGGACCTTGGTTTCAATAAAAGATGCTGTATTTCTTCGGAACGATGATGTTCATGAACCATGGAACTTCCATGTGCGATTTCTTCCAAAAGTTCAAAACCAGTCCTCTCACGTGTGTTACTCTTGGGCTGCTCCTTCCCAAGCTTGCTTCGTGATCTTCGTTTGGTGAGGTCCCGTTAATCTCGCCTTGTCAGCGAATGCAGAACCGTGCTTTAAAAGCACAGATGGTATGTGTCACTAGCATTGCCTTTTCTCCGCAGAATGCGCTTATTCCATGCATATTCCTGGTTTTTGGAATGGCTGCCTCCTGGAATCAGCAAAACCATTCCCCATTTAAGAACCACTCCATCAGAGACGTTGAGGATGCTTTACTTGGCAAGTCACCAATGAATCGAGCAACACGAGCGGCCTGAACTTTCACCTCTCACCCTTCTCTATAAACTTTAAACGAAGACCTCCCCTTGCGTGAGTGGTGCTCATTTCTGGCTTCGCTCGCGTAACACCGGAGCGCCGTTCGCCCGAACTCGGGGGGGAGCTTCCCATGCTTCCTCCGTTCCAAGATCCACCCCCCATGGGGCCGATCTGCGTGGCACAAAGAGGCCAAACAGGTGCGCCGAGAACAGCGCAGTGGGCGCAGACCTCTGGGAATTCCACAGGGGGCGACTGGACAAGTGGGGCCTGGGAATTCTACATGTCCACCTGGTTTTCAAACGTCCCTGAAGGGTTCGACTTTGGGTGGACAACTGTATGGTGGACTGAAGACTGAACTTGAGGGCCCTCGATTCCTTTGGTTCCAAACTGGTGCAGTCAGTGAAGTTACCTGGTCGAGTACATCATACATTCCGGTCCAGGTCTTTTCACAACGTTGTTGAGGGACCAGTGGTCAAGTGATTTGGTTTCTTCGATGATATACCTCACTCATCCTCACTCTATCTATTCCGGATGTACTTGCATTGCATGACCATGATCTTTGAAGACTGCCTAGCACTCTCTCCAATTTACCACACCCCCACAGCCCCCACACACTATGGGTTCCGTATTCTTTCTCCCCCTGCAGTGTTTCTGTCGTTTTGCAACCAAGGTGGGAACCATTCGCCTTCCGCACTGTGGGAACCGGGAACGACCGGATCTGCAGCGTTCAGCTCGACGACCGGAAGCGTTCCGCCCGGCCCAGCTCCTCGACCAAAACGAGACATCGATGGCACCTCTTCCGGAGCTGGTGGAGAAACCGACCAAAGCAACTGCGAACAAGGCGGGAATCGCAGGGATCGGAGCTGGTGCCAAGGGGAGATGAGGCAGAGTCTTGCAGAGACAGTTTTGGCATGAGACCAAAAACCTCCGTTGGGTTATTTAACGCGTACTTTGTGGTGTCCAAAAGGATCCACAAGGCCATGATGGGCCATGTCAAACTCCGGCAACAGCAGCCGACTTGAAAGAGACACCTGCCGAACACCTGCATGCGCTGTCCTCACACCCGCTGAGCCCGCTCTCGTCGAGGTGCGAGTGGGCAAAGGAAAGCCTTTGCCATATGGCTGCTCTCAAGCTGCGAAAGGACCCGCGTGCGTAGGAGTGAAAAAAAGACGCGCCCGAACTTCGCAGACACGCGACACTTCAGCCAAGTTGAAATCGTCGTTCCAATAATATCATATACCAGGACCCGACTCTACAGGTCACCGATTGAGACCTGAGACAGGGTCCAACAACCCTCAACTAACAGCCTGGTGGAGGGTGCTGGTACAGGAGCACAAAAAAGCTTGTACAAGCTGTGTGATCACAGGTACGAAATCGACTTTTTTGAGGAGCAGTTGTACGGTTGGGCGGTCTGGGCAGTCCCTTGAACTGGTGAAAAACCCAACGGCAAACGGTTGGAGCATCTGCGGAGGACTGAATTTTAGCATTTTGGCGCCGGACTCCTTAGCGACTTGGTGGAGGGGGCTATTTCCCCAAAAGGACTTGTGCCGAAAAAAGCAGCCAGTGTGGGCGTAGAACCATGATGATGCCAGCGTCCAAGTGCCAGCATCGGGTCACCTGAGTCTACAAGACTTCCAGATCTATTGGAGGTTGGTGCTTTTAGTGCAGATGTCCAGCTGTTGAGACTTGCGAGAAATGAGGTGGCTCGACCCTTTTTTGGAGTGCGGGGGACTGTGAGAGTGCAGTTTTCTTGACTTCATGTGTTGCTCAAAGGTTGAACTCTTCACTGACGGAAGATTCCGTTTTTGTTAATTATATAAGTTTGTAGGGTTTCTCAAGCTCTCTTTTTTTCTCCAAGGTTTTGGTTGTTTTTTTGGTTTTACTTTATTGCAAATGACTTGAGGCAGCTTTCAGATGCACATGGCATGCAGGCAACAATAGAAAGTCAATGTCCCACACAGACAAAGAACATCCGGGCAGACTTCCTTAATGCAGAAACCAAGAAAAACTGCACTCTCACAGTCCCCTGTGTTTTTCGTGCCAGTCGCGGGAGGTAGCAGATAGATCAGCTAGGAAAAGAGATCTAAAGGATGCTGGGGTAGATATTGCGGATTCAGCAGAGCATTTGGAGGCTGCCTATTGTTATACACTTCCTGCACCTCCTTAAGATACAATGTCCGAGGGGCACTTTCAAGGAGGGATCCCAGAGACCAACATGGGCAGAGCTCAGAAGGGTGATTGGAATCTCTATGGCAAGGCTGGATGCCGTTTACGACCTGTTAGATACACGCACGTAGCAGGAAGCAGATGTCAAAACAACTGTGGCAGGGGGTCATCAAAGAACCACAGTACCCATGTTTGATTTTGTGCGGCAACATGTCGCAACATGTCCCACGGAACAACTCACTGCCATGACTTCTCCATTGCCATGACTTCTCCAGAAAAGGATCGCTGAGGATACAAGTTAAACCAAACATCAAGACGATGTGCGAGCCTGCCTGGCTCGTTGTTTGAGGTTGCCTGGCTCGTTGTCGAAGTACCATCTGGCCAGGAGCGGCGCTTGGGGAAGATTGGGTCGAAGTGTCCTCACAGGTGCAGATGGTTTTCCAGTCACTACAATACTGCAGATCAAATATAGTGAAGCATGGCTTACCTCGGTGTGGCGTTGGTGATGCACCCGGCTTGAGCATGGCCGCTCCATTCGAGGTCACCGGAGCGACACATCCTTTTGTCCGCGATTCTTTTTCTCCTGGTCTCCTGGTCTTTTGATCTTTATGGGGCTTGCTGGGCTTGCCGAGCACTCCTTCGTTTTTGAGGCTGCCTCTTTCCTTTCCCTAGCTAGCTGATTGCATGGTTTGCTGGCTCCTTTTGTAGTACCTCTTTTTGTGTTCCCGCTTTTCCCTTTAAATCGCCAGGTTTGGGCTGTTCGTGGCCTACTCAGTCTTTTTTTGTGCAGCACGGCGCAGCGTGGAACCATAGTTCTTTTTGGAAGGCACAAATAACTAAATTTATATAATAACAATATGAGTTAAGTATTCTATTTGTTTGAGCTGGAACAAAGCAGGCAAACCAAACAAGAACGCCGGTTCTCGCGGTGGTGGGGTGGTGGTGTTGACCTGCCACGAATTCTGACCAAATGCGGTGGATGCTACCAAACACCCGCACTCCCAGGTCCAGGTGCTGTACCAAACTGTACTGTTCGCAGATCATCTGGACTCGTCCGTTTCGTACACCTCGTCACCGCGCTCCAGCCTCCATTTCGAAAGGCTCTTGACCCGGAATCCCAAAGGTCTATACCTAGGCCGAACCTAAGGCCCCCCCCCAAAGGGTATGGCATCCTAAGGCCCCACCGCCATCCCTACCGCGCCGAAAACCAGGAGAATACGGTGACTTTTCCGGACGTCCAGGGGAGCTTTTTGCGTTTCGAGCTTCAAGCGCCGGTGAACCGCACCGGGAACACCTGGCACATCCAGGCGCGTCTCGGGAAAAGGGGCTTGCAGGAAAAGGGGCTAGCAGTCACTGCTGGGCCAACCAGGCGACCAACAAACTGGAACCCCCAGCCATTTGAGACGAAACATCGCGAAGCTCATCCAAGTCTTGGAAGCTTTGACGAAGTGGCAAGGGGCCGAAGAAATCGATTCCAGTGATGTGATCACATCCACCCAGCTCCTTGATCCCCTTTCATCCCCTATAGGCCTTAAACCTGGAGTGGGACACCATGCTTGTCAGAAGGCACGTTCTCAGAAGGTTTAGTCTTGTTGTGTCCAATCTTTGCGCATGGGTCCGGTTATCTCCTTTTCAGAGATCGTTGCTGGAAATTCCATGTTGCAAGTTGCAAGCTGTCGAAATTGAGGAAATACATGTGGCTGTGAGTTCAAGCTTCTCTCTTCATGTTGGATTCAAGCAGCAGGGCTGCCACCATGATCCACTGCCACATCTTGCCAAGTAATCGAGGTCGATAGTCAGGCAGAGTGTTGGGGTACCACCACTCTTGCAGCAAAAGAATGGAAGTCAGCTAAGGAGGATGATAAATTCAACAGTATCAGTATCTGGCAAAATGGAGATGCATGTACCATGCCATGAAGCTGAAACCTCGTTTCATCATCACTCACATCCCCTGGGGTGGTTTGCAAACTCATGTATGAACATGTCCAATCTTGTCAGGAAGGATTCATCAGCTGAAGACGTAAGCTTCCAGCATGCTTCCAGCTCATTTGCGGTGAGCCCCCCCCGAAGAGATCTCTGAAGAGAACTTGAATCGCCCAGCTAATTCTGGCGTCACTTGTCTGCCCTTTGACACCCACTGGCCTGGATGTCGCCGAGCCGGTCAGATTGTGGCGCCCTTCTCCTTGGAAGGTCTTCGCTACGGTGGCCTGGGAGGGGCAACGGGCATGGCAGATGAGAAGATTGGAGAAGTGTTAAGGGATGTTAAGGGGGTTGATTGAGAAGGGTTTGAAAAGATGATGATGATGATGATGATGATGATGATGATGATGATGATGATGA